TCGGCTGACTACACACACACACCACTACCCCCATCTGTGCCACCACCAGGTTTATTACAATATTCTGTGACTTGAGAATGTATCATCAAAGACACAAAACGTTATCAGAGTAAACATTTTATGTCTGAGGCAGACTTTATTACACAAAGACATTTTCTGTCTGAGGCAGACTTTACTTCATGACAACATTTAATTCTGAGGCAGACTTTATTACATGAAGACATTAAATTGTGAGGCAGGCTTTATTACATAAAGACATTTAATTGTGAGGCAGACTTTATTACATAAAGACATTTAATTGTGAGGCAGACTTTATTACATGAAGACATTAAATTGTGAGGCAGACTTTATTACATAAAGACATTTAATTGTGAGGCAGACTTTATTACATGAAGACATTAAATTGTGAGGCAGACTTTATTACATAAAGACATTTAATTGTGAGGCAGACTTTATTACATTAAGACATTTAATTGTGAGGCAGACTTTATTACATGAAGACATTAAATTGTGAGGCAGACTTTATTACATAAAGACATTTAATTGTGAGGCAGACTTTATTACATTAAGACATTTAATTGTGAGGCAGACTTTATTACATGAAGACATTAACTTGTGAGGCAGACATTATTACATAAAGACATTTAATTGTGAGGCAGACTTTATTACATGAAGACATTAAATTGTGAGGCAGACTTTATTACATAAAGACATTTAATTGTGAGGCAGATTTTATTACATAAAGACATTTAATTGTGAGGCAGACTTTATTACATGAAGACATTTAATTATGAGTGAGGCAGACTTTATTACATCAAACAAAATAGTTTTTTGTTTTCCTTTCTTTAAATTATTTTTAGCATTCTATTCCCAGTCCTATAAATATTTTTTCCCTTTTGTTTCCTGACTTCAACATGTGTTCTTCCTTTGGATTTGGCTTGTGTAAAGAGCCTCCCACAGAGCTCATTTGTGAAAGCTAATTGGCTCTATCATAATAATGAGTGAAGTGTTAATCATGCTTAATTATCTTTTCAACATTTTCTTATCCAGTTTTCTTTACAGTTCTGTTGCATAATTACTGGATCTTTATTAACTCTTTCTCTCCTAACTGACGCTACCAGCGTTGATTCCACCAGAATGTGGTAAATAATTACGGAGAGAAAGAGTTAAAATAATAGGATTCACAATATAGCAGATATGTATTTCATGATAAATCAACATGCATGACTAGATTGACCTAGGAACACGCTTAGGAGGTAGCAATCTTCTTTTTTTTTGAAGTAATGTCTGTATTTCATAAGAAAAGATAAATATCATTAGAAAGGGAAAAAAAAGAACAGTTCAACCTATGTATGATGGTAATGGGGCACTGAAAAGACTATTACAATGTTTAAAGTCAAGCAGAATGAGACAACCTGACTAGGAAAGCTGTGTGATCTAAGAGCAATATTGATAAAAACTAAACAATCATAACTCTTAGGTAATATTGATAAAAGCTAAACAATCATAATTTTGAGTCTGAAGTTATATTGTTAAAGGCTAAATGTTCTTCTTTACTCTGGAGGAGAAATTATTAAGTAGTCAGATTTCTGATCATTTTCTGTAAAAAAAATTAATTTTTTTAAAGTCCTTGGTAGTTAAATTAAATGTTCTTTACAACATAGTGCAAAGACAATATTTGACCTTCACCAAGTTCACAATGACCCCCCCACAGGAAATAAATAGCTTGTTGTCAACTTGAAAACTAAAACAGAATATCATATCATATAACTTTTATCTTTTTTTTTTTTTTTCACATTGTTTTGTATTTATCTGATTGGTTAAACTTTTTCAATTTTTTTTCCTCCAAACATCATTCATACCAGAAAGATAGATTGCCAGAACAGTTTCAATTTTATACTTGAATAGCTTCACAATACAAAAGAGTGGGAAGGGGTGGCAGAAGGAAAACATTTGGCTGCTGAAGTGGCCAGGTACTCTTTAGAAAGTCTAAATTTATATCTTTATCTATCACTTTAGTCCTTCATATCTTAAATATTGCCCAAGATTAAGTGGTAGAAGATTAGAAAGAAAACGGGGAATCAAAACTTTTTTCCCTTAAAACTTTCATCTTCTCTGCATTTCCTGTCAGTTCTGCTTGTAGCCTCTGAGCCTCTCTGAGCCTGAGACACACAGTTATATACAGACTGGCATAAAAATAGTAATTCTACTTAGTAAAAGAAAATTAATCCCTGATTAGTTAATCACAAGAAAACTTTGTAGAGTTGTTAAGATTTCTAAAACCACGAAAATGTCTTGCAAAGCAATAAACTATTCATTTTGAATATCAATATCTAGGGGAACATCATCCAAACATTTACATTTGGGTCACTGGTACAAGGTCTGAGTTTTCCCTCTTGAGTCGGTTGATAAAATTTAAAAAATTTTTTGTTGAAAAGTGCATTTTATTTTGTTATATCTATGTCAAGGCTGGTTGTAAAAACAAAATAAATCACTTGATGTATGTGTGTGTGTGTGTTGTTCATTAGTTACTAGCCAATACAATCTCTTGATTTTGTCTCCAACATATTTTTTTGAACTTAAGTAAACTACAGCAAAGAAGGAAAAAAAGGCATAGCTGAAGTCAATGAGGAATAACTACTGAATAAACCTCAAGATAGGATTCTTGTAAGAACAAACTACAATGTCAACTTTAGATAAACATATTCTATACATACTTCTATCTGCTGTATGTTTGGATAAAGTTAGAATGATGAATTCAAAACAAACAGTTGAATGTTAGATTAGGTATTCTATACTTGTTCAGATGAAGATATTCTATACTTGTTCAGATAAAGATATTCTATACTTGTTCAGATAAAGATATGCTATACTTGTTCAGATAAAGATATTCTATACTTGTTCAGATAAAGATATGCTATACTTGTTCAGATAAAGATATGCTATACTTGTTCAGATAAAGATATTCTATACTTGTTCAGCTAAAGATATTCTATACTTGTTCAGATAAAGATATGCTATACTTGTTCAGATAAAGATATTCTATACTTGTTCAGATAAAGATATGCTATACTTGTTCAGATAAAGATATTCTATACTTGTTCAGATAAAGATATGCTATACTTGTTCAGATAAAGATATTCTATACTTGTTCAGCTAAAGATATTCTATACTTGTTCAGCTAAAGATATTCTATACTTGTTCAGATAAAGATATGCTATACTTGTTCAGATAAAGATATTCTATACTTGTTCAGATAAAGATATGCTATACTTGTTCAGATAAAGATATTCTATACTTGTTCAGCTAAAGATATTCTATACTTGTTCAGCTAAAGATATTCTATACTTGTTCAGCTAAAGATATTCTATACTTGTTCAGATAAAGATATTCTATACTTGTTCAGCTAAAGATATTCTATACTTGTTCAGATAAAGATATGCTATACTTGTTCAGATAAAGATATTCTATACTTGTTCAGATAAAGATATGCTATACTTGTTCAGATAAAGATATTCTATACTTGTTCAGATAAAGATATTCTATACTTGTTCAGATAAAGATATTCTATACTTGTTCAGATAAAGATATGCTATACTTCTTCCAGACAATAATAAACTTTTCCTTCCATGGTAGACAAACTATAAATAGCTAGTTTTTTTGGTGTATCTTGTGTACAGAATAAAGTGCTGCTAAGCTAGTTATTTTTAAAAGGTATATGATCATTATTGTGCACTTTTTGGTAGTAAAGAATCCAATGATCTTTGCTCTTCCATTTGTAGCTCAATTTGATTTTTAGTTGGCAACATTGAAGTTTAATTAAGCATCCTTGACATTTTTTAGTTTATCCTGGAAATCTCCACCTCAATTAGATAACATTTGTATATGCAGGAAGATTAGTTCCAAAGAGACACATTTGTTTAGAAACAAAATTAAGTCAGAAAACTTAAAAATTTGTTTGTAAAAAGCCCCCTTTATTTTATTTCTCAGTAAGGAAAAAAACAAACATGACAGTGAAGCCCACAAAAGAATTCAACTCTATGATAAAGACAATGTCAAAACATAGACCAAACTCTACATTCAAAATGTACATGGCTAAAAGATTTGTATTTTAAAAATTATCACAGAGTGAATCCCCTCAGAACATTCAGCCAATGATTGCATTACACAGCACAATATGTCCAAATATTTATTCAAAAATTTTCCAATAGTTTTCTCCCCAGCATAAAAAAAAAATACATTAAGGATAATAGAAAAAGTTAGGAAGCAGTATTAATGAAAGTTAAATAAATAAGTATATAATAAATATTCAGGTGCACATCAACTAATTTGTCAACAAATGATATATAAATAAACAATTTATAAAATGGTCAGTTTGGGTAGAGCAGTGAGCAAATTTCCTTTAAAAAAAAAAAAGCTTGGTTTAAACTTTATTTAAATGATTTCATTAAACATAATTAAAAACAAATCATGGCACATATTAAGTTTGTTTTCTCAAAGTTTTAAGTTTATAGGTAAAAAAAAAAGAAACTAAATGAATGTATGGATAATATTAAACAAAAATTATTTTACTTTAATGATCAAATTATTTTTGTAAGTTATACAGGTCAGTGATGAATTTGTATAATTCGTATAAAATTAACTAATTAGACATAAGTAGATCCAGATTTTTAAAAAAGTTTTAGTTTTATGTATTTTATTAAACTTATTTTTTTTTTATTCATGACAATAAATGAGCAATGGATTACAAATATAAGACATGGAAACAAAAATATTTAAGAGAATAGAACTTGTTCAATCCCTTAATTACATGGCTTCTATTTCATTGTTTTTAGCTTTGATTTCAAGCACTAGCAAAGGCAAGATGTTCAGGAGAAAGAACTTGAAAGAAAATGTGAAAATTATTTTGAAAAAGGAATCAGGTATGGGAGGAGAAATGTCAAAGCGACCCAATGAGATTAAGGAACCACCTAAAATTTGTTTCCATTTTGTTCTTAATATAAAAAAAAAAAAAAAAAAACTAAGAAAACTATGTTCCAATCAACTACCTACGTATTGCCGATGGTACACTGGTTAAATATCTTTAACTTAAAAATAAAATATACTTTTGTGAAACTTCTTTATGGTGTAAAACATGATCCATAAAAAAAAACATTTTAAATAAATAAAAAATTTACTTATCAATAAACCAAAGCTGACCATGTAATGGATAAAATACAACATGCAATAATGTGACATATGTATATATAGAAGAATACAAAGATATGACAATAACAATAGGGGGAAAAAAAGACTTGTATATGTAAAATAAATTAAGGCTTCTCCCTCAGATCAGACTTAGGGAGTGTATTGTTTTTTCACCATGCTGTACACACACTACACTTTAATGCTGTTCATTCAAGTCTAATAAAAGCCCTTCCAGCTTCTATTAATGACAGCAGTAAAGAATAGGGCTCTTTGAAGCAATAGCCTAACAAACAGCTTCTAAAAATAGCATTTTCTAGCAGAGATAAAATAATATGTAAGAAATTTTCAGAAAACATTGAAAGAAAAAAAAAGACACTGGGAAAAAAAATGTAAAAAGTTCAAACAAAACGAACAACATAAAAAAAGTTTGTCTGATCACAATATCATGTGAGTTGGACTGGGTCAAAACTGTGACCTGCCTTTTAAAGCTATTCCAATCATCATGAGTTGTGGACCTCCAATGGAACTTGTAAAGGCTTAAAAAAAATTTGAGCTCCTGAGAACATCAATCTTTACTTATCAATTGATGCTTATGCCTATTAATGAATAAATATTGTGTGATGTTTATAAAAAGAGATGACTATGATGTCTATAACAAGTGGCACCACCGAATGACTAGCTAGACTTGTTTCTTTACTACCATCTTCCCTTTTTTTTTTCTGTAATTCAAATTTATCCCAGCAAGCCAAGGATCAATTTGGTTCAAATTTTTTTCCCTAGCCCATTGTCACTGCATACGCCTAATAGCTTTTAGGAGCCAGGAACAGATCTGGAGCGTCAATCATTCTTAAATAGTCTACACAAGTGTGTACTGTTGTATTACGACTAAACCAGGTTTTGGAAGAGAAACAAACCTAGCATGCTAGGAGGGTCACACCACATCATTCTTAAATAGTCTACACAAGTGTGTACTGTTGTATTACGACTAAACCAGGTTTTGGAAGAGAAACAAACCTAGCATGCTAGGAGGGTCACACCACGGATGGCTTGTGTTAGTGACTATGATCAACTGAGGAATGTGCCTGGGAGGTGACCACACTGGATTAGGTTGACATAAAGGTTATACTGATATGTGACAATAATAACACACAGACTAGTGAGCATGCTAGATGGGAGGGAGGGGGGGTATGATCATTGCATTTTATTCTCTCCTTTTGCCCCCCCTCTCTTACCTCCTCATACACTGTCACTGGTAAACACACACACATACAATCTATAATTACTTGCAGCCGTAATATGAAATCAATTGAATAAATAGACCACTAATCATATACAAATATATGTACATGCCACAGTGCAGAGATGAAGGGAAATAATTCAATAGACTACCTTGTGTCTTTCCTGTTTACAATTTCATGAATTCCAAACACATGTCAGAATATTAAACAGAGCCAGAATTCATAAACCTAACACCAAAATAACATTGAATGTAATTATGTATAAAGTAAAGCAGCATGCCAATCAAATGTGAGGAGAGCCGGGTTTATATATAGATCATTATTCCTGGCAATGTAATCTTTATGTTGTGACTGTTGTATTTATGTGTATTTTTCTGTTGTGTTGTCTTTATATGAGAAAAGAGTCCTTGTAATCACAACAAATTTCCGTAAGGATCAATAAAGCAGTCTTAGTCTTAGTCTTCTACTGATTAAATACAAAAAAATAGAACAATGGAAATGTTTTTGGACCATGAACAACTTCTAGATAATGTTGAACTCTCAAATAGGTTGTACAGTCTGGATGTGTTAACATGTTTGTGTTTTATCGTAATGGATTAGTTTTAAACTGAAAGTAGTTGGGGAAAAAAATGAGAAACGTTGAGGGTTTCAGGGTTCATGAAGTGCTTTATGCTGATACAAAGAAAGAAATTAGAGACCCAAGTGTTGAAATTCATTTGGTCAAAGGTTTTGTCACCCTCATCAGCTATCATCACTGTCCAGTGTCACACAAGTCATTAAGAGAGATCATGACTAATAGTGCTGACAGGTCATTTGATGGCTTCTTCAACTGTCTCTCATGTGTCATGGAGTTGAAAAGTTGTAAAACTGAACAGAAAAGCCCATGATATACTGATCATATATACAAATAATATACACAGTTATCATTAGAAAAAAATACAATAGATATATTTGTATAATAGTTCAGACTTTGAAGCTATCATTAGCAGCATTTTTTTTCTTCTCTAACTCTAACAACCCCAGCTGAGGGTCATAGTACCAAAACTTAAACTTGCTTACATTAAAAGACAGATTGAAATAAGAATCTGATTTTTTTTTTTTTAAATATTTGCACTCAGCTATTTAATCCTAAGAGTAATATTTTGGTGCTGAATGAAAGCTATTGGTAGAAATATTGGCCTAAGTCTACTAGTCATGTGGTATGTGTGACAGTCGATAAGATGGGTTTGGACTCTGATGCCCATGAAGAAGGTTTTGGGCTAGAACATAATTTTTTCGTTTCTAAAAGAACATTTCTGAAAATCCACAAACTCAATAATAGTAATGCTTATACTTATTTTCAGGTGTGGACTTCAGTTTTAAAACTTCTTCAGTTAATTCATATCCTAGCTTACTGACAGAGTAACATAATAAACTACAACTTTGGTAAAGAAAAGAGTCCTTTACGATCGACATGAAAATAAATAAATAAAACCTCCATTTAATTTATTAGAAATTGGAAAGAAACTAGATCTAGAAGCTCAAATAAATAATGAACATTTTACAAAAAAAAAATTAGAATATTTTTTTTTAAATATTGAAACTTAAGCACTAAAAAAAAAAAGACAAGCATTTTTTTTTAAGAAAGCAAAATCACAAGCGTCTACATAAAAAAGGTCAAAGACAGAATAAAAGCTTTTCTGGCAACTCCTTACATTACAATTGTCCACACAAATATAAGTCAGAGACAGAATAAAAGCATTCCTGGCAACTCCTTACATTGCAATTGTTCCCACAATACAGTTAAACTTGTAACCCTGTTCCTCGTCTTTACATAATGCTGAATACTGAACAAAACTCATGCTTTCAATAAAAAATCTGGCTAGATGTTCCCATCTTATAAAAGTAACAATAAATATGATGGATAGTACGTCATATATATTTTTCACATATCAATTGAGATGACAGATTTAAATTTACCGAAACAAAACTTGAAATATTTAACAATTTATATTTCTCCTATTTTAATCATGCAATCAAAAAATTATTTTTTTTTACATCAAAATGATTACATTAAATGTATGAGCTAAAATAAATTAAATGATTCTTTGTTTCCATTAGGTTCAAAATGCATATTTTTGGGCTAGAAGCTGAAGTACCAGTGTCTGTTAAGTGTCAGTTAAGCTTTGGGCAAATACTTATCCTCTGCAACTTTCAGTTCATCATCTTTTGTCAAACGGAAAAGCTCCTTTACTGTTGCAATCTGAAAACAGAATAGATAGACTGTAGGCAATGTACATATGTGTGTATTTTTATGTGTGTATTTATTTTTTTTAAAAACAATTATATGGCTTTTATATAACGCTACTTTCATGCTTATAGCACGCTCAAAGTGCTATCATCAAATCTCATTTGTGGACCAGTGGGGAAGGGAGTATCTTGGAAAATGATTTCCATGTTGCCTTTAGGCATTCAGTAAACACAATTCTGCTCGAGTCAGGTGTTGAACCTCGAGCCCACTTCATAGGTAGCCAAGCTAAGTTCAAGCATACTTAGCATCTCGACCATGCTTCCCAAGTGTATTTATGTGTGTGTATTAATATGTGTGTATCTATGATTGTGTAATTGGAGGGGAAATTTTACACTTTTTAAAAATATCTTTTTATGACACACTAAAAAACAAATCTAAATTGCAGTTTTAAAAAGATTGAGTTTTCTAGGGTGTATATAATTTAAATATTTACATTTTTTTCAACTCCCACAGTGCTTTGCTCTTTAAAAATTTGAGCTGTCACTTCCTGCATGGCCTTGACTGATGCTCTGACAGAGTGATTCGCCCATATCACCATGGAAACTTTCTGATCTCTCCAATGCTGCATAGGTGTCTTGTAGTAGGTTGTGGGCACTATAACAACCGGTCCCTGGAGGATGACATTTTTAGCATGTTAACAGTTTGAAATGACACAAAGATGTGGCAAACAGAGATGTCACTAGATGTAGAATACCTAAAACATAACAACTTCCCAGCAAGCTCAACAACCTTTCAGTACAGTTTGTTAAGTTAAAACAAAGTTTTAGGCTTCAAAAACAAATTGTGGTTGAATTGATTACACTTAGTCCATTTTAGATTAGACTCTTCTAGTTTATTTATTTCAGACATCTCCCATACAGATCTATGTGAACAACAAAATATAGGCTCCTAGATCACTATGGCATGTCAGTAACAGGTAAGAAATATTAAATAATTTTTTATTTAACTTAATCAGATAGGACTTTGTTAATTTTCTCTACTAGATTGCACACACACACACACACACATTGCTGAGCATTTTGTGTTCAGATTTTAGAAAAACAACAACTGAGCTTGAATTGATAACTTTTCAAATGTCAATATTATCCGATCAAGCTGTTTTAAAGTTTGTGTTACACACTAATACTTTGTCTGAAAAGTTAGTGCTACCAACCATTCCTAATGTTACCAGCTGTTTCTAATGCTACCTGAGATATAAGGAAACCTGCCTCAGCTGTCACTACCACTGTTTGGCATACAAATTTCCTGCAGGACAGGAGTAGGTCGGTGCTTACTCCTTGACATTCCTAGTTTCAAAATTACCATTTTTGCGGCGTATTTCTCTACTAGCACACTAGGGAACGGGCTAGTTAGAGACTAGTTCATGGGCGCCAACCAGCAAAGGCCTCACCAGTCAGTCCAGTTTTTGCCCATATAGAGACCTGCAAATAGGCTAGGATCCAGGAGATCCTGACCTACCCTTGAGTTGGTGTCCAGCGCTACCTGCTTTTCAGAGATCCTGTTAGATCTCTTACTCACCGTTGCCACAGGGCCCAATAAGGAGTGGGGGGGGGCTAGACATAACCCCTTAGTGTAATTTTACACTCACTACCTGCTCATTTATCAGTAGCGAGCAACCAGTACCTTTGGCCACCCTAAGAGAGCAGGGTGTTCACACAGTGACCATGATGAGGTGGTACAGGAACACTGTGCCTAATGCTACCAGAGATTCCTAATGCTACCAGAGATTCCTAATGCTAACAGCTGTTCCCTATGCTACCAGCTAATCCTTAATGCTATCAGCCATTTCTATTGCCTTTTCCTAATGTCACCAGCATAGAAAATTAAAAGTAAATGCTACCAGCTAGCTATGTTTAAGTCATAGAAAATTTTAAGTTAATGCTACCCACTAGCCATGTCTAAGTCATAAAAAATTAATCTAACCTTGTTGTTCCAAGCTTTCAAAAATTCATCGATTTCTTTGGGCACAGACAGTTTACTGTGCATGAGTACAGCTGTGGCTCCTGCTGCCAGGTAAGCATCTGCTCGCTTCAAGGCCTCATCAACACCCCAGCCAGCGATCAAAGCTTCAACTCTTGCCACAATGTTGAAGTCTGGATCTCGCTGTGCATCTTTCATAGCCTGCAGAAACATCACATATTGTTAATACACAATATTATTGAAATCTACTTAGGATTTTAAACTATGAAGCTGGATAAAACTAGTTTATTCAATAGATTTATACATAAATAAAATGTTTGTAAATGAATGTATTGATCTATGTTATTTTAATTGTATTAAGTTCTACAGAATGATTCAGGAAATTTAATTTTTACTTAATATTGTAAGCAAAAAAAAAAAAAAGAGGAAACTTAAAATTATGAAATAACAAAAGACCAAGATTAGAAATGAATCAAAAGATGGAAGAATCTTCTTTCAAGAAATCTTCTGTACAAGTTTAATTAATGAATAATATAGGAAGACATTTTGGTCTCGAAGGTCCATTAAACCGTAAGAAATGTGGGATAAAAAA